GTAGTGTTCTACTGACAGTGACCTTTGAAACTGTGGTCCCAGCTCTCTTCATGTCATTGACCAGCTCCTCCCTATCGTTCTGGGCTGATTCCTCACCTTTCTTATCATCAGTGATACCCCACGAGGTGAGATCTTGCATGGCGCCCCAGTCCGAGGGAGACTGACAGTCGTCTTTAGCCTCTTCCATTTTCTAACAATTGCTCCAACAGTTGATCTATTTTCACCAAGCTGCTTGGCAATTGCCCCGTAGCCCTTTCCAGCCTTGTGGAGGTCCACAATTTTGTCTCTGGTGTCTTTTGACAGCTCTTTGGTCTTGCCCATGGTAGTAGTTGGCGTCTGACTGACTGTGGGGTGGACAGGTGTCTTTAAAGAGCTCAGACAGGTGCTACTAATTTAGATTAATGAGTGGAGTAGAGGTGGACTTTTTAAAGGCACAGTAACAGGTCTTTGTGAGCCAGAATTCTTGCTGTTTCTCAGGTGTTCAAATACTTATGTTCAGCAGTGCAAGACAAATAAATTCTTTAAAAATCATACAATGTTATTTCCTGAAATGTTTTTTAAATTCTGTCTCTCAGAGTGGGAATGCACCTACAATGTGAATTTCAGACCCCTCCATGATTTCTAAGTGGGAGAACTTGCAAAATCGCCGGGTGTTCAAATACTTCTGTTCCTCACTATATACTTGAAGACTGGTACTGAATGTTTGGTCTAACTACAGGAAATTAGAATTGGTGTTGAACAAATATTAATGTTTGACCCATCACCCTCTTTTCTTCTCAGGCCATGACTCAAAGTGCAGAACTGAGAAAGATGATGGTTTTGTCAGAGTTACATTCAAGACTGAAAAAGGTAAGCAACATAATCCATTATTAAACTAGAAATAAAATAAAGCCTGAATATATAGGTCTAATACTGTGTTCATGCTTAAAATAGTTTGATTAAAATACCTTTCAGTGTTAACCACACAATCTTTGTACATTTCACAGTGAAGAAACTGAACACTCCTGATTACCGCCATTACCTGAAATTGTGGAACCAGGAGACCAGGCATAAACTAGAAAACACAAAAGATCTCCCCAAGCTGAATCAGGTAAATACAGAAGCCCATTCCATTCACCAAAGAAATTGAATGATTCTCATAATTCTGACTTGCTATCTTTATAACTGATCTCAAAATTGAGATCTTTTTCTCATACTTGAGAAAACGCAGTGGTTAAAACATGGCAGAACTTGCCTGAAAATCATCAGACTTTAACAAATTCAGTAGTATCAAAGTAATTCAGTGATTCCTATAGTGCATAGCAAAAGTGTACTGTTAAGTTTTTGTACAGTATTTTGGAAAATTTCACATTAAATGTTAAAAGTTCAATCATGTGAATAGATCCTACTTTTACAAGAAACGGCAAATATAATGTTGACATTGGCCTCTGAGTTACTGTGGGCTGCAGCTTAGGCACCGTTTTCAGCCTATATTTGTTTGCTGAATTAACTATTAACAGCTAATATTTGCTAATGCTATTTATTAGATGTACTGACAATTACATAAATACTGAAGAAATCTTAAAGGCCCAATGTTTCTCATTCAGGTTCTGAACCTTTCCAACTCTTGTTCAGTACATGTATAAAGCAAGTTACACTGTAGGCAGCAAGTTTGAGGTCCATTTTTAGCCTGTATTTGTTTTACATTTTGGAACAGTAAGTATGTCAAATTAGCTAATAACAGTTCACTGTGGCTATATACTGACAACCATCACTAAATTGCTGGGATATTGAAAAGTTCTGCACTGTTCCAACCTCTGCATTACCTTAGTATGAGATGGTAAGTCATAATTACAAGATAGGATGCTCCAATTTTTTTTCTTTGGTGAAAACAATGTGCTTCTGTAGGTAAGACGTTACCTGCTGTAATGATTTTTGTATAAAGTAGGTATACAACTATCAGTGACTCCTGTTTTTGACTTGTAGACCCAGTTCATTGAGCTGTGCAAGACCCTCTACAGCATGTTTAGTGAGGATATTGCAGAACAGGAGCTCTATCACGCCACAGCCACGGTCACCAGTTTGCTGCTGGAAATGGGAGAGGTGGGAAAGCTCTTTTCCTCCCCTGGTAGAAAGGACCATAACATGGTGGGTAAATCAGAGCCAAGCATGTGTCTGGCAGATGGCACAGATCCCAAAGCCACACAGGAGGCTGGGCTAGCTGATGTGTTCCAGCAGAAGGACCAGAGCCATGCCTTTGTCCCTGCAGATATGGAGAACCAACCAAGCCCCGAGGGAAAAGGGGAAGAAGGGAACGAGCAGGTGCCACCTATGCAAGACATCAAGCTGGAGGAAGACTCTCCCAAAGATGTAGTCACATCATCTGCCATGCTTATCTCAGATGATGAAACTAAAGATGATACTTCAATGTCATCTTACTCAGTGCTCAGCGCAGGGTCCCACGAGCTGGATGAAAAACTGCAGTGTGAAGACATTGCAGATGACACGGTGCTGGTGCGCAGCGACAGTGGCTCCAACAGTGAAAGAAATAACCGGCCTCTTGGTGGTGGGCCCCACGATAGAGGACTGCCTCACAGCACCAGTGTTGATAAAGACTGGGCCATCACATTTGAGCAGTTTCTGGCATCTGTGCTCACTGAACAGGCCTTGGTGCATTATTTTGAGAAGCCAGTGGATGTGGCTGCTCGTATAACTAATGCCAAGAATGTGCATAAAGTCGGGCGTCCCCTGTTGTCAACAAGTGACTATGAGATCTCGCTATCTGGCTGAAGTCCCTCAGCAGATGTCTCAGACTGTTTTAAAAAGGAAAAACAATTATCATGCGGCAGTAATAGAATATTTCACTGAGTTTTAGAAGGGAGTGAAGGTAAGTGTAAATTGTATGATAGATGAATGAATGTGACCAAAAGCTGCTTTTAACTATGTATTTTACCCAATGTGATAGACTTTTGTTATAACAATCACTACTGTAGATTCTGTTCAGCTAGGAAAAAAGTGTTAATATTAAGGTTTGCTCAGATGAAATCGGTGTACATGTAGTAGCTGTACTTTATAAAACATTAGTAGTTAATATTGTAAGCTCTAGTAAACTTGGCTTATGTAGATGTAAATGTCCACAAATCCAGTTTAGATCCAATCTAGGATATTGATAGTCTACAGTACATATGATTACCTAATATCTCTGTACTTTGATTCCACATTCTACTAATCCAAAGTTTTTGTTTCTCATCAAATGACATGGAAAGATACAAAACTACCCTGTGAAAACTGTGGTACAGTAGGATGAATTATGTGTAAATGCTTTTCAGCTCCACATCACTTTAACGCAATGTGTCACTTTAGCAAATCATATTCTCTTTGTCACACACATACCTTTTTGATTTCCTGGAGATTCCCTTCTTAAAATACTATAATCTTCCCAATAATTGCTCTAGTTTATCTTAATTTATTACTGGTAATTGCAAAGAACTTGTTACAATCAGAAACCACAATTTTGATTCATAAGCAAATAGCTCATGCCTCAGCAGTTAATTTGGACAAAAATGCTTTGTTTCAGGAATTCAAAGGAAGGTATGTGTTCTAAGAAAAGATGATTACACTAATACATGCTGTAAAATGAAAAGCCTGAACTTTGTTTACAACCTAATGTGAGCCACTAATATGTATTTGCCTTCTTCCTAGAGATTGTCATCTGTACCTCTAAGTAAAATGTTGGCCTTTTTTTCCTTTTTGTTTAAAACATGGTTTTAGTTTTTGGATCCTGTACATTTTTGTTTTTTTTATTACTGTTTAAGTTGTTTATATGTGAATATTTCTTTTTTATTTTAAATGTCCAGGTTATCAATCTGGATTCTGATGAATTGTGTATCACTCTAAATAAAAGTACAGTCTGACTGATTCAGTGCTGCACAGTAAGGTGCCTTAAGCCTTTTACATTAACTTTATCAGCTTTAGTGCCACTATTAAATACTGCTAAATAAGGGCAGCATTACTTCCATCTGGTAGGTCATTTGAGCTACCGATATCAATTTCCTAAAGATATCATTCCTAAATGGATGCAAATTTGATGATTTCATTTGCTCTTTGCCTGCATCTCTTATGCAAAGCTAAATCACTGTTTGTAGTTACTTGTTTAAAGCAGCTATCTAGTTTAGACTGACATTTTACAAATTAACATAAGCAAATTTATAATTTAAGTAAAACTGGCATTATTTCTTAGTGGTTCTAACAAGTGCTGGTCTGGTGTCCGTCTAGCACTTCTATAAGCTATACTTCTATTCCACTACACTTAACTAAATATTTGCCATCTTCATTTACTAATTATATTGTATGATTTTTAGATACAAATCATGTGATCAAATTATGAAAAAACTGCCCTGTGATATACAGTAGTTAAGGTTCCACTTCAAACAGCTACAACATTAAGATGGGCTATTTTCCAGCATAACACAAGATTAATAATGCTGGAGTTTTACTTCCAAATGAGAATTTTAATAGGATAGTGTTACTGCTTAAAGGATCTGAATGCATCTTACACTACAAATCTTGTAAAACCTGTATTAATTCTGCAACATGTTCACTATAAAAAGCACACACGTCTTGTTCAGACGCAATTAAAAAAAACCAAGAACTGAGTTCTTTCTCCCAAAGGATTTGAATCACTGTCATGTGCTTCTGTTAAAATACTCTTAAATACAAAATTTTGAGTCCAAATTCTTTTCGTTGTTTAAAAGACAATTTGAGCTCAAAATCTTGCAGTTTTTAAATACAAAGTGGAAATTGTAACTGTAGCAAAATACACTACTCTCTGGAGAGAAAGAATACAGCAATGTGCACCTTAAATACAACTGTATTAATATGTTGTTGGTTACATGCACTCACCCTCCCTCTCTCTCTATGGACCAAACACACTGGGGTTGTGGCTCAGGTTGACCAATCACAGCTTGGCTTGATCACAAAAGGACACTCAGCAGATTGAACAGACGCGTCCCGTCAGACACACTGAAAAACAGCATTAATTAATCAGGAACATGTTTTATCAAAATTGTCAGAAATATCACTCACATCCTTTGTCTCACACACTTCCTTCCAAAAATCCTCATTTCTGAACTCAAAAGGAAGTCTATAATGAAACTATTGTCTGGTTTAACCATGAAAATAACACTATCTCATTTGTATTTTCCGATAGTTACTGATTAATGGGAGGAACAACATGATAGCACAAAGAAAATATTGGTGTCATCATCTAACTTTGACAGTTTTGGCTCTATATTAACTTGTGTCACTGCTAGTTATGCCATGAGTGTCCTGGCACCAGGGTAAACAGTATATTTATTTACTTTTGACTCTCTCTGTGTAGATACATTATTATAAACCTAAAACTCAAAATGAATAAATAGAATTAAATTGAAATACCTTCTAGCACAATACAGCTCAACAGCGCCATAAACTACAGCCTCTAAAACAACCACAGTCCTGAAAGAACACCTCAAAAACAAAAACAACAAAGGCTTTAGGATTTGCCACAGGACTGTTGTATTAGGCTGCATGTTTTAGCAATGTGTACAAACTAATTATTTGCAACTGAGCTCACTTTTTAAATGTTACATTACTTTTTGTTTTCCCAAAATCTAATTTTCCAATAATTTCCATTCGGTTTAAGAAGCTACAGTGGTTGGATAAAAGTATTATGAAATAGGCATGACCACTGCAAACAGCTGATTGGTCAAATATGGAGTGATGCAAAGTTCTTATCTGCTCCATGGTGAACTTCAGTCACTAGTTCATGTCACAACTTTCTCAACTCTATTGCACCAGAGCTTTTATTTTTCTTGAAATCACTGTCCACTTCCACAACATGAGGTTTGCCTACAAAGTCTACTGAACAAGCTGCCATTTAGCCAATCAGCTCCAAAACCTTTCTTCTTCATTCACATCCCCTGTTACGTCATTGGCTAAGAGCAAAGACAAGCTTCAAATTAACCCACCTGATAGTGCTTTATTATGACCGTTTTCAAGTGCAGACACGTGATCTAATAAGGTGAATAATTTCTTAATTCTAAGTCAGTGACAAGTCACTGAACAAAAGGAAAGTCTGCTATTTCCTAATTCTACTGAATGCAAATGCAAGCATAGATATAGAGCTGATTGTAAGGCAAGAAAATACCTATAGAGATACTAATTATAATTTATAGACATACCACAGTTTAGATGAAACAATACTGATGTTACAGTCACAGAAATGGGAATTAGTTGTTTTTCTGAAAAGTGTCTGCGCTGTGTGTCTGAGTGTGGTAAACTGACTTTGTGACAGTCAGTGGACTTTGATTTGACCTGGGTCTGTTGGAGTATACAGCAACGCCTCTCTATGGACGTCATAAAAAAGCCAGCCAGAAAATATATAAATACAGGGCAAAAAAAAAAGCTTCTTTCCTTTCTATGGAGTGGGACTTTTTGTGGATTAAAATCTGGCCTATCAAATCCTGCCTGCTAACAAAAAACTGAGAATCAAAAGGCACCTTAAATTTTACCCAAACAAGGTAAGTATGATTTATCAATCTACTTTGATTGTTGGTCCATGAAAGATATCATTCACTAAGATAAATGATTAGTATATGAGGTTAATGTTTATACAGGTTTTTTTTACAAGAGAATCCTGCAACGATTTGTACCGTTTGTATGTGTGTGTGTGTGTGTGCATACCTGTCAACGAGGTAGCAGAAAACATGGTAGGATTTAAACCGTCAGATGTTCCTCCTCCACTCGGGGTGAAGATGGCGAGTGCTGGAGCAGCAGCCTGTATAGCTGACATCGTCACATTTCCTCTGGACACAGCCAAAGTCAGACTACAGGTATCTGTTTAAGAACACTGACAAAGAAAGAAAAAACTTAAGAACGCAGCATGATGTTGGTTACTATTGACTGACCAGTCTGTCCACGTCAATACCCTTAAATCAAAGGTGCACTCTGACAATTTTATATAGTTAGATGTAGCACTATTTAGTCTAAAAGGCTTTTTTACTTTTCTGTAAAGCTGGTTTTAGCCTTGAGTACAATCTGTGACCCCAGATTCAGGGAGAGAAGAAGGCAGTTCAAGGCATCCGCTACAGAGGGGTGTTTGGGACGATCAGCACCATGATCCGAACAGAAGGACCCAAGTCTCTGTATAACGGGCTGGTGGCTGGTCTGCAGAGACAAGTGTGCTTTGCCTCTGTCAGAATCGGCCTCTATGACAACGTCAAAAACTTCTACACAGGTGGAAAAGACAGTAAGTGATTACAGTACGTTTAAAGTACTTGCAAGTTTTTTTATGATTATATTTCTAAATATAGTATGTACAGTTAACATCAGTTGGCCAAAGTGCTGTACATTATAATACATACTATAACATAAAACAGCTATAAAATTGACATGAGAAGAAAAAAAAAAAGATAGCCACATCCCTCAAAATATATTTAAAAGCAAAAAAAAGATAAAAGAAAAGCTAAATTACAGCTATCAAGCTGTGTCATAAGTCAGGGCATCATAGTATGTCTTAAGTGAGGATTTAAAAACAGTCACTGATGGGGCCAATCTAATATGCAAAGGCAACTGACTCCAAAGGTTCTGATATCCCTGATGACAGAAATGATTTATGAAATTAGATGTCCAACAGCACATACAAAAACCCTCTGATGAAACATGCATGTCATACCCAAAATCACAAACCCACATTTCAAGGGGCTTCACAACAGATACAGATACAGTAATAGTAACAGCAGTAGAATTCTAATACTGACATGTAATTATAATTCTATGTAAATAAAGTACACTAATGTAAGTAAATATTAGATGTAATAATAGGTTTAGATCTGAGGGCAATAACACTGCTTGATATTTTAAATGAGAATTACTGTGAAACTTTTTTGTTTCATAGACATTTTTTCTGTTGTTCCTAGTCCTGGAGCTTATGCAAAAAATCTAGGACCCATGGTGCAGAATTGTGTGGAGGCTACAGATTGGACACACACACAAAACAAGTACCTGCAGTACTCTCCTGCAACACAATGTTATGCTCTTGAGCATAGCTCACAGCTCACATTGTCACTGGAAAAGTGTGTACTGCACAGGACTCATAACAGAGAAGACATTGATCATCCTTTAACACAAGCATTGTTGAACAAACTGCCTTCAGCTCTGTGGGCCACAGGTCCCACCGACGTGGGATTGATCAAAACTGACCCGGTCTTTCATCTCCATGCTGCCTGCGCGCAGGTTTGGTGGTGGGAGAGATCTGGACGTGTAATGTTAATTTTGCCTGTGATTCTCTGAATAAACCAGCACGGTTATTTTTTATATAATCCAAGTGGTCTACTTCGTCTTGGTGAGTTCCTGGTTTAAAAAGAGCCGGAATTGGCTTTATAATAAAAATAGAGCCTAAAGAATAAAATACTAAATTTCAAGTCAAAGGCCTGCATTCAAAGTACATAAGTACTAGCAGCAAAATGAAATTCAACTATCAAAATCACTCATTATGAAGAATGACCCCTTCAGTGTACGGTTTACATGTATAATGTACTGTGAGAATATTAATACTGATTCATTAACATGCAATCAGCATTTTATTGTTGTCAAAGTAAATTTTAACACCTTGAGTTCCTGGTTTAAAAAGAGCCGGAATTGGCTTTATAATAAAAATAGAGCCTAAAGAATAAAATACTAAATTTCAAGTCAAAGGCCTGCATTCAAAGTACATAAGTACTAGCAGCAAAATGAAATTCAACTATCAAAATCACTCATTATGAAGAATGACCCCTTCAGTGTACGGTTTACATGTATAATGTACTGTGAGAATATTAATACTGATTCATTAACATGCAATCAGCATTTTATTGTTGTCAAAGTAAATTTTAACACCTTTATAAATGGTTGGGTAGTCTTTAGTCTTCCTTGAATAATATGGTAATATAATTTACATTTAAAATCTTGACATATGAAGTAACTAGTAGATAAATTTGTGAAATAGATGTAGTGGAGTAAAAGGTACAGTTTCCTATTGAATCTCCTGGTGTAGAAGTATGAAGTAGTATAAAATGGAAATACAAAATGCATCAAAATCGTATTTGAGTGAATGTGCTTACTCACATTTTACCTGTGGTTGTTCTTGTCTGTTCTTCTCCAGATCCAGGTGTACTTATACGTATCCTAGCTGGCTGCACCACAGGTGCCATGGCAGTGTCTTTTGCACAACCCACTGATGTTGTCAAGGTTCGATTCCAGGCCCAGATGAACCTGGATGGAGTGGCTCGTCGCTACAATGGCACCATGCAGGCTTACAAACATATCTTCCAGAACGAGGGCTTACGTGGGCTCTGGAAAGGTGTCATTTAGAAAGCATGCTTAAAAATGTGTTAATATTTAGAGTGCCATGGAAAAAAGACAAATTCTTTGTAAATAACTGATAAAGTGTGAGAATTATTATTATTTTCTGGCTTATTTAGGCACATTACCCAACATCACAAGAAACGCACTGGTCAACTGTACAGAGCTGGTTACATACGACCTGATCAAGGAGGCCATCCTTAAACATAACCTCATGTCAGGTGAGAGAGCTCATGTATGTCTACTAAGCTATAGTAAACACACATACAGCACACAACGCCACCCCAGAGAGACAGCTGACTGGATTAAAATCCACACACCCTCTCAACCCTTCAACTCCACGGCTGATAACAACAGACATGCTGATACAGAACATGCCATACTTTTCCTTCCAACTGTTATAAATACATTTTACCTTTTATCTCTATCATTTATATTGCCTCACTCTCAAGATTACATATCTGCTGACATGGGTTTCAGCTGAGAACAAAGGCCTTTAAGTTACTATAAATCATGCTCTTCAGTTGTTTGGTTCACAATCTTTTCAACTCTCTCTCTCCATAGACAATCTACCGTGCCATTTTGTATCTGCGTTTGGTGCCGGCTTTGTTACCACAGTGATTGCTTCCCCAGTGGATGTGGTGAAAACCAGATACATGAACTCACCACCAGGTCAGTACAAGAGCGCCATCAACTGTGCCTGGACAATGCTAACTAAAGAGGGGCCAACTGCTTTCTACAAAGGGTAAGCACACATCATTTGTTTGTTGACAGAAAAATATTTAAGAAAAGCTCATTTTAGCCTTTGTTCTTTACTCCAAACCTCTAACATCTCTTCTTGTTTTACTGTAGATTCGTGCCCTCGTTTCTGAGGTTAGGATCATGGAACATTGTTATGTTTGTCTCATTTGAGCAAATCAAGAGGGCCATGATGGTCACCAAGAAGAGGATTGAGGCCACAAATTGAGATTCCTGTTTCAAAGTTTGACTGTAAAACTTGAAACCCAGCTTGAACTCCACTGAATTTCAATTATCAATTCTTGTTTTGGCTTTATTCAACATTTTTTTTGTCCTGTGGTGACAAAGAAGACAGTCCTTTGTTGAAAAAGGACTATTGGACAATATCATTTATGTTTGACTTTATGATTAACTTATGTATAAAAGTCCCACTTCTGTTATATTTATAATTTGAGCCCATTCCAAATACAACAAGTATGAATGATATGAACACAAGGTTGTAGTAACTTCCTGAGGGAGGTTATGGCTGCACTTTAAGATGTGTAAAACTTAATCTGCCATTTAAATGTTTCGGGCAACTTAACCGAGTGCACCTTTATATTAAAACCATTTTGTAAATCCCAAAGATGTTTTACAGACACCATGCTTGATTCTTTAACTTGCCCATGAAACTGTAAAAACATCTAAATGTTTATTAACTTTGAGCAAGGTGTGTTCATCATTACATAACTTCCTCAAAAGCAAATTACAGCATAAAAATGACACGTCATGAAAAGGCAATAACGCTCCAGACATGGACACATTTATGAAAAGGGAGGCAAACAACCATTCTGAGTTCCACATCACATATATTATTAATGCAGATGACATTAATGGCGTCAGGGGGACATGTTTAGCCATGCACAACTATTAGGATGAGAACAGCTCAGTGGAATCACTTCCTTAGAATACATTTTAGCCATAGTTTCTGGATATAAATATTCCTGAGCAGGACATATGTATCAACAAATACAAAGAAAACAGTTAAAATATGGTACTTAATTACCATTTATCAACAACTGTCTAACTGTTTAATGAAAGTGCTTAAAGCACATCACATTAAACAGTTCCACCTTAACTGCAGTAGCTCTCAGTTCCCCTCTATGACAGAATGAATCATAGGAATGTCCATTTCTGAGGTATAGGGTGTTAAATTTGTGCTCTCTGAAAACCCTTGACTTACACTATGACGAGATGAACTGAGCACGACTAATGAATCAAAAATATATTAGGAATTAGTCGTTAAATTTTGAGAAATGGGAGTTACGTGCTTCTTCGTGTTTTTAAACCTGTGCCTCTTGCTTTCTTCTACCCAAACAACATCAGGAGCTATGGAGAGGTCAGGGGGAATCCTTTAAAACTTTATTTTTAATCCTTTATTTAGGTTTGTTTTTTGAATGGACCATTAATGCGAGGGACACATCAGGATCCTGTAGATGTGTCTTGACTATGTTATGGAATTTTTCTCTGTACTGATTGAATAGCATGATGCTTTCTGGTTCTTCTGCCACCCAGAATTTATCAAATTCATATGCCAGGTAACCTAGAAGAGAAGAAATGTGTTTAAGGGAGTTTTTTCTAAAACAGATAGCTGTCCATTAGAAAATGCTGTTTAGTATTTGTCTAGCAGATACAAAGAAGGACAGAACAGTGGTGTAATGTCTGCTCACAGTATAGCTGATGAAAGTGCCGGAGCTCAGGTGTGCCCAGTACTGTGTTGTAGAAATGGGGTTTCAAAGCACCACTCTTAAGGAGGCTGTACGCCATCTCTGTCAAGTTGATACCAACTATGGCATATGAATACCTAAATATGTAAAATTAAAAGATAAGAATGAAGTACATACTGTAGCAAAGGTAACAGTACTGCACACAGAATACACTACCAGTGAAATGTTTGGACACACTTTGTCACTGAATTCAGCCAAACTTTTGACTGGTAGTGTATATATATGAAAGGCATGGTGAGCCATAAGAACTGTATAAAGATGATTAGATTGTCTTTTGTTAGATTTGATGATGATAATAATGCAATGATTTTAGGAAGATCAAGCTTCTGACAAAATACATTCATACATAAATTTCTCATACCCTAGTTTAGGATGGTTCGCATGAGACAACACCTGACGAGCCTCTTCTGTGTAGTTTTCACTGAAAAAACTGTAACAGAGCAAAAACATTATAGCATATCCATTATTTACAGTCGTATAGTTTGGAAATACAATTTAATTTAGAGAAGAGATCATGTGCTCCAGCAATCTAGTATTCACTTCACATAATCCTAGCTACGTAAAGGGGAATTCCAGTGATTTTACACATCAAAGCCAGTTTTCACATATGCAAAAAGTTGTATAAAGCCTTTTGTGCCTCCAGAGGGAGTTATACTAAGTCTGATAAATTACCTAAGTGAAATTTCAGCTGAACATCCGAAACATCTGGGGGCCAGAGCTTAGATTGAAGTGGCACTGCCAGACCTCTGAAGCCCACTCCTCATCTCTGCTGAGGCTAGAGGTTCAAGGCTACATAGGTCACTACACAATACACCCAAATCGCTAACCAAACTGTGGGTAGTTGAGCTGCATTGTGGGCAATGTAGGTAGTGATGGCCAGACTCAAAACAGCATATGGACACTTTGAACCACTTGTGACACTTCTGTTTCAAAGCACTAATTCGAGGCTTGTATCAAAGTGGCCAAGTCACGTCATTGTTTCACACTGTTTCATGAAACATTTCAAATTTTATTTGTTTCACCGCTAGAGGACAATCTGACGGTGAATCCTGGACAGCAGACTGAACATTTGCAACTACTGATTCTGAGTCAGTTACCTGATAATCAATCAAGTTTGATCCTCTGATCCTTAGGTAAGTGTTTCTAGTTACCTGTAAATGTCATGCAAAGTGTCACGACCAGAATGATATTGTGGGTCTTTGTTTAAGACATATACTATACATCAGTGGTCCCTAACCACCGGTCCGTGGCCCGGTACCGGTCCGTGAGGCATTTGTTACTGGGCCGCACAGAAAGAATAAATAATTTATATAATTTCCATTGCATTGATTTTTAGAGTCTGGAAGATGTTTTATTATGAAAAACGACGTATCATCCACCTGTGCCCCTTGACACGTCAAGACGCATGTGTCGGTCACGACGTCACGTGATACGTTGCTTAAAAAAATAAGCCCGCAAACTAGCAAAAAACAAACGTCTTTGAAGGGCTTCTTTTCAAAGGGGAAAGGCCAACTGAGGAGCCAGAAGAGGAGCCCACGACCTCCACAGCAAATTTGAAATAGCAAATTTAACTCTCTTAGAGTTAAAATTAACACTCTCTCGGGGTTTATATGGGAACCACTGGAAAAGTGCCTGCTACCATTCCCAACATCCTATCTTTGTGAAGCGGGCTTTTCTGCAGTGACAGCAACCAAGACAAAATTATGGAGCAGACTGGACATAAGGAGCACATTGCATGTGTCATTGTTTCCCCATCAGCCCTAGATGGGACCATCTTGTTGCAGGGAAACAAGCCCAGTCTGGATGAAAATCAAGCCAGAATATCCTGAAATCGCCACAAGAGCACTGAAAACCCTGCTACCATTTCCAACATCCTATCTTTGTGAAGCGGGCTTTTCTGCAGTGACAGCAACCAAGACAAAATTACGGAGCAGACTGGACATAAGGGGCACATTGCATGTGTCATCGTTTCCCATCAGCCCTAGATGGGACCATCTTGTTGCAGGGAAACAAGCCCAGGGCTCCCACTGACTCTGCATTATGGTGAGTTGATATAGTGTAGAATTATTGTAATTGCCTAATATAAAGTGTAATTGTTGCATTCAGATTACATACTATGAACTGACAAAGGTTTTTGTTATTGGAACCCCCGTGCCACTACCCGGTCCGCGGAAAATTTTTCATGCATGAAACCGGTCCGTGGTACAAAAAAGGTTGGGGACCGCTGCTATACATGGCCTGTTTGATATTTGGAAAGATCAATTTGGAAGATGGAGGGAGAACGAAAGAGATGCACGTCGCTTGTGTGGGAACATTTTTATGTGGTGAAGCACAGTTTATTGAACCATACCACTTATAATCAATGCTTTTTTGTTTATGTTGTTTGTCTTGACCGGGGCATGAGGTTTTCCTGGTAAAAGTTAAATAAATAAATTAAACACATGGTGTTTTCAACAATACATCATCCCTACTAAGTCATGCTCAGCATCCTGAAGATTTAAATAAAGGGCACAGACTACTACAGGGAAACCTGAATAATCACACGTGCCTTGTTTTGTGTTTATTTACGCATATTAATTCAGCACATTTTGTTATTAAAATGCTTTCTTCTATCTGACTTATCACAAGGTCTACAGTAGACTAAATTAATCAAGCCTGGCTCTCTAAAGCAGGAGAGGCTTTAAATAAATACACCTTTTGCAAAATTGTTTATTTGAGTGGTTAGTAATATCATCTTAGCTATAATCTCATTTGTTAAATACAAGTTAGAGGTTTAATAAATCTGTTTTTCAATAGAGTAGTCTCAAGAGGATAATGTACTTCTTCCTTTCAATATTCTGCCTCAGCTTTCATTTGCTGAGAAGTGATGGTACATTATGTTACAACATAGGCTAGCAGGCAGATAAATTATTGACAGGGATCTGTGAAGCTTTACTGTATTTCTCTTTCTTTTTTTTTACCCCAAAACTCTCATCAACCAGCCTCTAAAACAACAGTTGACATTTAAAGGCATAACGTCCATTATATCGATGAAATGTAAATGATGACCACTGCTGCAGTTTTATGTAGGCTACATGTTTGTACAGGTCCAACTGGCTGCGTGGATTTCCTTTCCAACTTCAGATTGCATGTTGTAAGTTGACACACAGCTAGGAAATAACTTTGGCTTCAATGGCCTGCTTTATCTTTACTTATATTTTGTTGCATTTATTTGTTTTACTGATTTTTTTAAAACCATTATTTACCATGAAATGGATCCTTACAATTCAGGCAAGACTGACCTGAAGAAACCAAAACCTATACATTTACAGAAAATTATAAGATTTAAAATCAGTTATACTCCTCAGTGTTACACTGATTTGATCTGAATGAAATTAAATCAAAACGACATCTCCATGTTGGATTAATAGAGATGGTGTTCCTGCTGCTTCTTATTCAAAATAATATCTCTGAGAAGCATAAATGTCTTTTTTAATGAAATGTACCGAAATAAACTACTTATTTTTAGTGCATCTCTCGTTATTATTCAGTGAGTACTCACACAAGATTGATAAGGCCTAGCATGCCCATTCCTCTGAAGTCAGTCTTAGGATCATCTCCTTGGAATCCAATATCCCCCCACTGTTTGGTTATCCGTGATTCCAGTTTGACTGTTGGCATCAACAAGTCCCACAGCTGTGGATAATTACAGTGTTGCAGATTTTAATTGCCAGAATACAGTCGAACATAGCCATAATCAATACTGTAACATATTATCTCTTAAATTTCACAAAAATTAAAAATGTGATTTCTGCTTATAAAGCTTCAACTTTTTTCAATGTGTCAATGCCTAATTGGCAGTTTATAAAATTAACATAAAATGAAATGTTACTTAGCCTAGTCTCAGAGATTGGGTTGGCCAAAATAATAGAAACCCATGTGATTTAGCAGCTGTACGCACTCTTGCAAAATGATCATACAGTTGAATCAACACCTCTCCAAAATAGTTTCAACAAAACCTGAAAATCATCACCACTAAGAAATTAGGACTGCTGTTATTAGACTGCATTTGTTTTAGTTAGATGTACCTAATAAATTGCCAACTGAGTTATTATGGCTTATTAGTTTGAGATATTAAGTTGACAAAAACTATGTCTCTGTCCATCAAATCAACTATCAATTCACTATTCACTTCATATACAACAACTGCTATACATTTTCAGTTGTATGGATCCAGAAAGAGGGAGACATACCTTCAAAAGCATGGCCTCATGTTCTGGGTTCTCCGAGCTGAAAACTTCCTTTCTCAAGTCTTCCACGGATATAAACAGACTGCTGTATCCTGTTATCTGTAACAGACAGATGTGTAGACTTCCCTTGAACCTAGAAAAGCGTTGAGAGTAAAGCAATAATTAATCACTACAGTCGATTTACACAAACCTAATATGATGAGAATAAAAGAAGTGAAGGTGACAAATAAATTCAAAGTGGCTCTTATGTAGTAACCTTACAGTGGATCGTTCTGGGGTTTCACATTCTTCTCTTTCATAATTTGATTCACACATTGTTCTAAATTATCCTTGCTGGTTTCTAAAGCTCCTCTTAAAACCTACAGAGGAAGAAAACACAAAAGAGTGAGGAGGTAGTCACAGAAACACAATGATACAATGAGTCAGCAGACAGAAAACTAGCACAATAGCTATTGTATAAACTATGCTGTCAACAACAGTGGAAAAAATGTTTTTCTCTAAGTCAACCTCAAAAACAGTGAAAAAGTTGACCAAGCACTTCTTGCTACCACACTGAACTGCTTATCTAGTGCCCACCATAAATAATGAGTAGAGTCAATTCATCTACGCTTGGCAAATGTAGTGACAGATAAAGACTGATTAATCCTGCGGGAGATAGCGTTCACACATACAACTGCCTGAAAGATAATGTGAGCCCACATAATCTTTAGAATGTAGTATGAGATAACTATGTTGGCTCACATAATTTATAAATGACCTACAATTCATCAGGCATCCATCTCCCAGTGAGATTATTGTCCAAACTTCATAAAAAGGACAACATTACCTCAATACTAGGGACTTGATACAGACTCTCTGCAGGACATCTGTTTGACTTCAATGCTACACCTGGCTTTCCAACACATGCTGTGAGAGTTTTGTTTATATTAACAATAAAAATAATAGCCTACAATTTATTGTATGGGAGGCACATTAGGTTGTTCATATTTCTGAAGGCAAAAACTTACTGAATGCTGTTTCTAAACCAAATCTACAGATGCTAACTTTGGCCAGGAGCAACCCAGTGTATCAGAGAAAAAACATCCACATAATCCAAAAAACTATCTACTAAAAGCTGACAGTTAACAATGGTAACATTTTCTCACCTTGTTCTTAGAAGACTGCAGAGAGTATTCTACAATAAAACAAAAGAGGCACATTAATATAATGGGAATTATATACAATAAGCAATAACAGCAGACCAGATGTAGTTTGATTTAATTCACCTGCTTTCGTTGTCCTTGTGGCCCCAGGCTTGTGTCCAGAGCATATTCTCTGTAGCTCACATTTCCCCGTCAGATGTCTGAATAGCCACTTTACCCAGTATCTCAGGAAGGATGTGCAGACATACTGCCAGATATACCCCAACATTTTCTAGAACACACAAAAAATAAAAAGACAATCATGTGAAGGAATTCAAGGAGAACAATCTCACAGTCTAATAAGCTATTTAATATGTATTTTAACCATTTGTCTGAAAGGCCACTTTGTTAACATGCCTAAAATGGGTGCTTGACTCAGATTGCCATTAATGATGGATGGTCCTGCATCAGACGGTATGTAGCAGCCCCTCGATTTTTATTCCATGGTGCAAGAAATGTCCTACAAATTAGTAAACTACCCAGCAGTATAATGGAAATGTGTAAATTAAATGATATTCTTATTGAGGTCATAGTCAGTGATGTTGTACTGGACTGCATTATATTAAGAGTTATGTCTAATTGTTTGTTCCCCCTATTTACAGTACATATTAAAGGGGCTGAATATTAGAAACACCTCTGAATACAATGCAGTCCAGTACAATACCACCACTATTATAACCTCAAAGCTAAAACATATACCTTTAACATAACCCAACACAATTATCTGGCCATTGTATTCTACAGTTCATTTCAATCTCTTAAGGACAACATACACTGCAGGTGTCGCGTCATGCTACACGCATCGTGACACCCATAACACACACAGAGCAGTGAAATTTCAGGGCAGGACTATCAGAATGGTGCATTCTGTTTGCTTTAATTTTCCATCAGGTGCATCTAGAACTCAAATGCACTGCAGCTGTTGCAAACTGAATTGCTTGGATGGCAGTACGCAGACGCTCACCATCCAGTCTGACAGATCTTGAGTGGATCTCCCATGAAGAATAGGATCAACTGCCCAAATCGAGGTGTGCAAAGCTTAAACAGACGTATCCAAGAAGACTTGCAGCTGCACCTGCTGCTACAAAGTACTGAATGAAGGGTCTGAATACTTTTGAAAGTAAGAGATTTCAGTTTTTGATTCTTGATACATTTTCAGACAACTCTATGACCATTGATATAACTTTATCATCATGGGTAATTAAGTACATAGCAATGGATAGAAATACAATTTTATCAATTCCAGATTGAGTCCACAACACATTAAATGAACAAAAAAGGAAAGGCATCTGCATACTTTCTGAATCCACTGTGCCCTTAAACCGTATTCAGGTGCTGTGGCTGAGTAAATGTACTTTCCTCCACTGCCTAAATTTTCTCTCGACACTTTCTATGAATCGGACTAGTCTGTGTCTATCATAACGACAATGGCATATTCTGCATTTAAAACCTCAGTAGTTCATTACTCGATGAATTAGAAAATGTGCTGATCATAGGTCGCGAGTAAAACACAAATACAGAATCTACAAAAAGCCAGGATCGTGTTAATGTGAACGCAAGAGGAGAGCTTGAGAAAGCTAACATTCACACCCCCGAAACAATAGCATTGTACTAGCTAACGTTAGCATTAGCGCTAATGCTAACTGTAGGCAAACGTGACCAATCAATTGAATAAGACTCGGTGAGTTTAGTAATACTTTAGCAGGAAATTAGGTCACCCGTATATTAACGTTAGCGAAGTGATAGCTAGGTAGTAAACTAGTTTAACTAGCGATTAATAAAATAACTAAATTAGCTAACGTTAGCACCAAAACTCAGATGACAGCCCCCGGCTCAAACAACAAGTTGACATTGTATTCGGCTAAATCAAGTTATCAAGTTATTTCTTAGCTAGCGTTACATTCACAGAGATTAAGCTGCATTGCAAGTGTTGCGTGCTTGGTAGTATTTAGCACAAAGATGAAGTCTTACCTTTCTGCTGAAGAGACAACACTGCCAGACAAAGATATACCCAAACTTAGCTTCACTTTCAAGTTTCCAGCCTTGTAGTAAGGTTAGCAACGTTCCTCTTGACAAGTCTTGTTCTGATGTGTTCATGTTCACACCAGAGTTAGCTGGGCCATTATTAGTAAAAGCACGCACTTGGGAAAAAGAACAATCTTGCATATAGACATGAATACTTATATTTAGCAGTTATGTGTATATTATGTCAGTTTTTAGAAGCAGAAAAAGTTCGATTTCTGCCCAAAATGGCTAGCACACTTCAAGAAATTTATGTTGAATTTGTTCTTAATGCTGAATGACACAACGTCTTTGAACATAGCACACGACAGCCTATGCTTTGAACGCTGCTGCAGCGTGATCGTGATACTGCCGGCGCCAGTCTGCACCACTGCATAAACAAGGGACAGGTAATTAAGGGCTCGTGGAACATGCGCCACGCACCCCAACAAAAGCTGAGTCCTGTTTTTTAATTCAGGGAAACATGCTTTTATCCGGCTCAAATAATACTGTAAATTCTCATACAGCTAATTTGACTCGATGGGGATTTGTTTATTAGTCTGGGATGAACTTGATCTTCATATAAAGACAAAATAAGGAGAGCCAGAGCTATGATCAACACTGACTGAGTGTTTGGCTGAGTGCTGACCACGTGATTGCAGTTTCTTCGGGTAGGCATGTCGGGATCAAGCATGCACTGCAGAGGTGGAAAGTAGTAGGTTTACTGAACCCACGTAAGCACAGGTTTCAGATATCAGTAATTTACTTTGGTGTATTTTATTGTTGCAGTTTTGTTGTATATTTTATCATGTATAAATATACAACAAAACTTTAAATAATTTAATTATACATATATTATTTAATAATGTAATTGCAATATATAACAACACACTATAATGATTTCTCAGTAACTTGCATGTTCTCATCTCAAATCATATATCAACATGCTTTCAAAATAAATCTAAGAAAGCAAGCTTTGGTAACTGAAGTTGTATATTTTAGGGTTCACCCTAAAATATTGTGACCATGGTCCAGCAAATTGTCAATAAAACTGTACATTTGTGACCCCTGGCACAGACTGTGCTTCACAGCTACAGCTGAATACAGACAACCTATCATTCAAATTTTTCTTTTACTATTATTGGAGTATTAACCCTCTGACTCATCATTACTCAGAGCCCAAATTATAGACCAAAACTGGTAGGATTTTTGTTGACTGGTTTTATTTTTGTTGAAAATGAGTCTGCAGGTAAGCTTGGTTATATTTAACTGAACCCAAAATAACAAAGTACCTGCTTTTCCCAGATTAGCCACAAGATGATGCTAGATCCACAATATGACTATGTGCACTGATCTCAAAATTTCGATCATACTGTGTTAATAGTATTTGTTATTAAGTCAGAATTATTTTATAGATACCATGAAATGTGTGTAACATACTTGGCCAATAAAGGTGATTATCCTTAAATAGTTTTACACTTTCTGTGTGATATCTACAGCTACTATTTAATATGGTGACGACACACCACACATCTGCATTGCCTATTGTCCCACTTTTTCCAAACTGGCCACTGGCCCTCACCCTGAAGCAGAAGTCTGGCAAATCAGTGATGCATGCAGTCTATCCAGAATTGCTGGTGCATTCAAATGTAATTAAGTCGCAGTGTACCTTCTCACTTAATCAGTCCCTCTGGGCTTTTAAAAGACAGCAGGTCTATCCCATGCAATCCCTCTATTCCAAGAGGAGCTCCTGTCTCAGTCCCAGGCTATATTAGAAAACTGAATCCCCCATGGTAACCATTTTATTTTGTTGTGAGCTAAGAAATTATTTTATGCCACCACTGGAGAGATTAAAATATACTCAGATGTGATCACTGTAATACAGACCCTAAATGTTATTGTTGTTGTCTCTTTCTTCCAACATGTCTCTCTACAGGGGCTTAGGTAAGAGAAAACCAAAGCAGGAATCCTTAATATTTTTGACCAAACCAACAAGTCCTCCAAATTAATGACAAAATAGGCTTTTAGCACTACCAAAGGTAATAAGAACTTTTCCTGTCCTATGCCCGTATCCACAAGACAACAGCATGTCAGTTTCTTACAAAATGCAATGTGAGCTGCCAGCGCTTCAAACAGGCTGGAGGCATTATGTGTTCACGTTGTTCATCTAGCCCATTCTTATGAATAAGTATCAGGAACACCTTTAGAGAATTTCTTCAAATTTAGCACAAATGTCCATTTGGACTTAAGGATGAACTGATTAGATTTTGGTGGTCAGAGGTCAAAGATCAAGGTGTGAATTAGACTGTAATTCTAGTTTTATTTTGAATTATTTTTCTCCCAGAACCACCAGTCTAGACATATGCCACTGTTGACCTGTAACAAATAATACACAGAAAGAACATGCTCACTTTCTATGCACTGGCAGAAAATGTATATTACCAATCCACTGAAACCTATATAATATAATAACTAGTTCCTAAGTTCCTAATATTCTGATCCTCTAATGTATATAGCTGGGGAGGACAAAAATATAAAGATACCTCTAAACATACTGTATTCCGGTACCTTTAACTGTGACCTCAATAATAAACATGTAATTGATAAGGATAAGGATAAGGATAATCGCCTTTATTGGCAATGAATCTATACATTTATGATCATTTCAGCAAAATGTGAAACATTTTGAGCTTCATGAACATTAAGGCGGAAGTGTTGCATTGATTTGCATACAATTCTACAGGTGTACCTAATAAAGTGGCTGGTGAGTGCATGTCAGCAGACCTCTGAAAAACCCCATAATTAATTAAATTTCTTTATATTTAATATTCGGTTTCATATCTGAACCTATTTGGAAACATAATACCTTAACACATCCTTCTATAAAGACACCAGACAGGGTACACAGTCTAGTCATAAATCAGTTTCTGAATGATTCAAAATGGCACAGCATAATAAAAATATCTTCTAGAAATATTATAGGCTGCTTCAGGAGACCAAGGCTAGTGCCAAGATTAAATGTAATCCATTTCAAGAGCAAGCGACCCCGCTATGGATCCCTGCGGCTGATACAGCACTGTCTCCATTCTCATCTTCACCCCCATTCATCCATTCATCTGGTTTACTCTGCTGCACCACGTTGCTTGCGCTGCCTAGACCAGCTCAGTCTGGGATAGCGCACATCATGAGAGGTCCATTTTGTGAAAGGTTCACTTTTTCCAAGCATGAGGCAACATTAATAAAGACCTCATCGGCAGCATCCATTGGTCGGACAGTGGTGACTCATTGCGCACGGCCGGTCAATCAGTCAGGGTGCTTGAATTGTGCGCTTTCCTGTAGAGGATCAATACCAGATCCATGTTCTGGTGGAAGGCGTGGCTTGGTGTCACCAATACAGCGTTGATTCCCCAAATTCATTTCTAGGGTTTAGCCTCATCTCAGTGACACGGACGGTACCCCACGATACGGAACCTAACGCGTCTCTCAAGGTAAGGCATCCTCCTTTTATCATTAACACTGTGGGGGTTTTTTTTTCGTGTCAGATGTTGAATTCGTCTGCAAGGTCAAATCAAATCAGCAAATAGTGGCTTTTGAGATAGTGAGGTGGAACAGGTCTACAAATGTAGGCTAGAATACATGATGTATGTATTTATTGGGTGGTGCGCATCACTTTAATGTATGTTGCCGTTTTGCA